TATGAGAATACTACTATCGAAGAACTTCTGAATGAATTGATGGTTGAAAAATGGAATTTATCAAGTTCATATAAGAATTATTATAATGAATGTCAACCATCCGAATGTAGTTATAGTGCGGTAGCAAAGAATAGTGCAATTTATATTGTAACAACAGTGATTGGATTGATTGGTGGCTTGATTACAGCTCTCAAAATTGGAGTGCCAAGGTTCGTTAGTTTCGTCATAAGTATTGGAGAGAATTATCGAAGAAGACGACGTGGTATGATATAGTTTAAATTGATTTTATGGCCGAAAATGAAAGTATCTACTTCGTATAAGTTTCAAAATATTTGATTAGACCCTTCTGTGCTTTGAGAACGCAAGAACTCAGTTGTAAAAGCGGTGTGTATTATGAAATGTGAAGCGCTGGTAATCAGCTCACTTGCAGAGGTCTAACATTTTCTGATTTTTCAATAGTATCACACTAATTATCGTAGTATGTAAAAGTGACTGAGAATAAAGTATTTTTAGCTAACAACAAGTGAATAAGCTGCGCGTTTTATTTAACCTCATTCTGTAGTCAGACAGAAACAAAATTTATTCGACTAACTTTCAATTGGCGGAGGTGAACTATGAGTCGATACATTTTATTTTTCTTATGGAGATATCTATGAGTCGGAGCGTTTATCACATTAGTCACTAGACCTTTCACTTAACTAATTTTTTTCTAGACATGACTTACTGTCAGCTAATTGGTATATTATGTGAAAGATCAAAAGATTATTTATTGACTCTGAATGTATTTCCATCAACTCCTCCTACTACGGATCAACATGAACTTCATCATCAACGTATTACTACACGATTGTTCATTCTTCTTCTCGCCATATCATTATCTATTCTTCTTTTATACACTTCATTAATCAATATTACACAGCTTATTCGTGTCCAATCACCTTCTATTCAACAATATTCACAACTCTATCAAATGCATAGTCAAACTTTGACCTGTGATTGTACACAGATATCAATCAGTTATAAGAAGTTTATTAACGTTGAATATGATTTCCATCAAGTATGTCAAAGTCATTTTGTTACACAGAAATGGATTAGTTATATAACAACATCACTTGGAGGTAGTGCAGAGTATTACACAGACTTTCAAGCGATCGGAACATTTATGTTTCAAGCGCTACGTACATTTTGTGAGCTAGTAAATCAAGCAATCTCAAATGAGTTAAGTCAGTTTTATTCAAATCAATATGTGAGTGCATCGGTAGCGTCATCAAATGTATTTCAATCACAAACAGATGCACTCATATCTCAATTCATTTCATCAACTACTGCTAAGTTCTTAGCATCTCTCTCTATGGCACGAAACATCACGCAAAGCAATGCTTTAGTTTCCGGTCAGTTTACAAACTTTATGTTCATTGATCAACCGTCGGATAATTTCAGCTCTTATTCCCAATTATACGGAAATTGTACGTGTGCTTTGTCGGCTACTTGTGTTATTCCAAGTACGATTAATCAGTTATTTTCAGTACCAGGATTGTATGTCGGATGTTATGTAATTGAAGCATTACTTCAATCTAATCTTCAATGTTTCTATAACAATACTTGTATCAAGAGAATACAATCATATTTCGATGAAGTCGCAGGGGTCAACTTCACACCGTTGAACACATCACTGTTAAATGGGTCTTATGAGAATACTACTATCGAAGAACTTCTGAATGAATTGATGGTTGAAAAATGGAATTTATCAAGTTCATATAAGAATTATTATAATGAATGTCAACCATCCGAATGTAGTTATAGTGCGGTAGCAAAGAATAGTGCAATTTATATTGTAACAACAGTGATTGGATTGATTGGTGGTTTAATCAAGATTCTCAAGTTTGTTGTACCATACATGATTCAGTTTCTATGGTTCCTTGGAAGAAAATGCAAATTCAGACGTAACACGGCTGTCAGTATAGATGATATTTAATTACTATTATGTCAACGGACCTTAATGTGCAATTTTATGATTAACAACTTTTTGTGGCGGTGTTGTCGAAACTTTCATATGAAAGGCGACTATAAGAGTTTGACTTCACAACAAGACATATGTAGGCGTGTAGAGAAGACGCTCCTCTAGCTAGTATTATATGTATCATAAAATTCTGTTGTGCATCATTTTGAGGGTAGATATGGTTGGTGTATGGTGTCAGTATGGGAACGGGTGTGGATGTGAGTTTTTAGTGTAGGTGTGGGTATTAATGGGTGAAAGCGTGGGTGTGAGTGTATCACTAATACATAATCCAAATTTCACGTTCTCACCCACACCCATATCCACAGTCTACATTGCACATTAATACTCACACCCGTCCTCAAGATGGTGCATAACAGAACTTTAAATGACAATTACTACCAGATAGAAGAGCTCTTGTTCTACATGCTTACATATATCTCGTGGTGAAGTCAAAAATTACTACGAAACTTATAGTCGCCTTTACATATTGTTGTGAACTTCACGGATCGAGTACGCCGTAAATACATTAACCCTTAAAATCCGACTGTCCTCTCCAGAGGACATTCGTCTGAGTGCAATAAAATGTCTAATAAATAAATAACGCTCGTCGAGGGAGACTCGCATTACCCTCGACTGATTGGGTTATACTTCAGATAAAACTTGTGCTTCCAAATGATGTCTCGAGAACGGTCCTCGTCAATTTCAACCTTTTTCAANAAATTCAATAAATTACCTTCGGAAAAAGAAATCCAACAACGTGTTGCACGTTCTTCAATTCTACAAATTAATTGTGTGGTCAAACTTACTCAACAGATGCGAACTGAAGACACACGATATCTTCAGTTACTTGAACGACTTCGTCAAGGTCAATGTAGTTATGAAGATTATGAATTATTATTGACGCGCGTTGTGGGACAGCCAACCGTATCTCTTCGTGAGCCACCATGGAATCAAGTAAAATATATATTTCTCTATTCTAAATAAACATGTTTTCTATTCTGTTTTAGGCTCGAATGCTTGTATTTAGAAATGAAATACGAACGCAACTGAACCACAGGTCGGCGATTCATAATGCGATACAAACAGGTTCCAATCTAATGGTATGTGTTGCTCAGGACTTTTGTAAAGGCAAACCTGTGGAGGAGCCGACACTCCTTAAAAAATTATTGGAATTATCCGATAGTAAGACTGAACACTTACCGGGTCTGTTACCGTTAGTTCCTGGAATGCCAGTTATTATAACACAAAATATTGGTATTGAACTCGGATTAATTAACGGCATGAATGGAATCTTTAGACAGCTAGTTTATGATCTTGACTCAGTGTCAACAGATAGTATATCAAAAACGTTTCCAGCGAACACCCAATATGTGCACAAGCCAATATATGCATTGGTCGAAATAAGCAAGTCAAAAATTGAATGCAATCTTGAAAAACTTCAACCAAAACTTATCCCAATACCAATAATGGAACAAACCTTCCAGGTGGACATTTCGGATATTCTTCCGAAAGTTAACAGCAAACCAAAAACGAATCGAAAGGCAATGTTATCGATTAAACGACGCGCGTTACCTCTTGTACCCGCATATTCTATCACAACTCACAAAAGTCAAGGGCAAACTTTAAACAAAGTTGTCATTGATCTGAAATTACCAAAGGACACAGATGACATCGCTGCAGTCTATGTACCATTATCAAGAGTGAAGCGTTTGGATGATTTAATTATTTTACGACACTTTGATTACAAAGTCTTACTGATCAAACCCAGCAAATCTCAAGTTGCCGAGATGCAAAGACTGGACAAACTCTACGTGGAAACACAGTTGCGTTTTTCAGAATGGTTTTGACAAATATTATAGAACACACGAAATCTCCATTAATCGTCATTCATTTATTTCATTTGATTTATTTGCGTCTCTTGTAGTTGTAGAAATCTTTTGCATAGTTAGAACTTTTTTCTGTTCATTTCTTGTTCATAACATAAGTACATATTTTCTTTTGAATTTTGCTGTAAAATACTTTTTTGCTTTACTTTTCTTATTCGTACTCATTATTTACTTGTTTAAAGGTTAGTTAAAGTTAATACAGTTTATTTCTCTTCTTTCATGTAGTTGCTCATCATATCCTTAATGTTTCTTTGTTCATTGTTGAAAACCAATAAATAAACTTCAAATTGAAAAGTATTTTCTCGTACGTAAAATAAAAAAAAACAACTTGATTATACATTATCTTCATATTTTCAGTCGAGGGTAATGCGAGTCACTCTCGACGAGCGTTATTTATAGTCTTGATCTATCAAAAATAGTAACAATTCTAATAGTAAAATCTTATCTATGGTTCAATATGCTGTTAATGATTGTTTGGTGGTAACAAAATTAGCTTATACCAAGAGTGAAGACATTTCAGGTATATATATTTAAATGATTGTAACTTATAAACCTTATTCTCTTTCTTTTCATTTCTAATTTAGTCGAATAATTTATTTAATAAGAACAGTATGGTAGATTTGTTTGTTTGGTTTTTTCCTTCTTTGTTAGTTTCTTCATTGTTCCTTTTGGTTTAAATTTTTTGAACATCTTCATTTGCTGTTTAATTGAATTGTTTTGCATTTTTCTGGTCTTTTTCTAGAGTTTTTATCATATGTTACTAACTTAATTACAATTAAAGCTATAAGAAGATACTATATTATGTATATGTCATTAAAAGTGCTCTTGTATTAATTTACTTTGATCTGGAATCAAATGAGTCGAGTATAGGTCATACGATAGCTTATTTTACCATTATTGCTGAAGGATGTGAAGTGAAATAGTCACAAATAAGTTCTAATTGCAAGAATGTTTCTTTTGGTTGATTTCTACATAACATAAAAGACCTCTTTGATAATAATTACAATTTCAATACTTACCAAAAGATAATTTCTCTTTAAAATGAAAACCATTTCTGACATATATGTATGTATTGTTGCACAATCTGAAAGAAAAATGTAAATGAGTACAAAAAAAGCGACTCAATTTCTAAAACTTCTAGTCTCTCTTTCTACCCACGCTACATACCTCTATAAGAGAGCAAAATCACGTAATCAAAATATCTAGAAGGTTCCTTTTAGGAATTACTAGATTCGTCTCTGGTCGATTTGCGTCGTTTCATTAAATCACGTCGAAGTTAAACTTTGATCTGCTAAAGAAAGGCGAATGTACTGAATGAATTTTCCCCTTGAAAAACAGCATTCCATGGACTTTGATCTGAGAAAATGGTGGGCAACGAATATTTCCCACGAAACATAAGCAGATTTTCTAAAATTCCATCACATTTCACTCCCTCTACCCTCTTTCCCTTAAACCTATATAAGGCACCAATTTTTTTCATTGCCTTTATCTTTCAGTACAGTTTCACTTACAAGTAAGCTTCTCATCAACGCTTCTCTCATATTATTGATCTTATCGTTTAGATTTATTCTCTTCCAGCAAAAATTCTGCATATGTAGTATATTTCAACATCGAAAGCAATTAAGCATATCCACACCGGTAATAAAAGCTTGTCTCAAATCATTTTTAAGCTTACAACCATTTGAAAACGAACTTTAATAGGTTCGAAATCGATTATGGCAGTTACCACTCACACTGCTAACGAAAAAAGTATCAATATAGGTAAAATTCATATTTTCTATGAGTTTTGCTTGTATCAGAGTACTTAATCTATTGATTTTGATTAAATATTACTATTTTGATGTTTTTACATTGAAATAGTGGTATAAAATGAAGATTTAGATCTTTTGCCATTTGAAAACGAACTGTAATAGGTTCGAAATCGATTATGGCAGTTACCACTCACACCCTCGCCCACACACCCACCCCTCACCCTCACCCACAACTTGAAAATGATTTTGTTTCAAAATGTAGGTAATTTGAAAAGGCACGTATCCATGTTTATTTACTAAAGTATTTATACGAGTGATAGACGGGCTCCAATGCGATTAATTTGAACAACTAGACACCACGGAAAAGGACAATGAAGATCATTTACTTCTATTTCGTCTCGCTCACTACTGTCTTTACATATTACGATGCTCAGTCGGTGCTCATCGCAATGCAATGTTAATTCAATCACAGCACCATCCGCATTTGATATGTGTATTCTTTCACCATCCCACTGTCCGTCGACAAAGCGTCTACCATGTGTGTACCATCCGTATGTAGAAGGCGTTCCACAGTACATTTTGCTTAGGTTGGGTTCAACCTGTATATGGCGTGAGCGAATTCCAACAAATGCAGATCCATAATGCAGTTTTATTCGAATCCGATGATTACCTGTTGAATATGNCCCTCCCAAACCATGTTTTATGAAGTTTCGAGTGTTTTTGGAGAAAATGTTTTTTTGACCTTAGACCCCGGAAGTGATGTTCTTTTGATCCGACCTCACACTCTCCCCTCAACCAAGTCCCAACCTCAAGACTGCTTCAAAACCATGTTTCATGAAGTTTTGAACAATTCCAGAAAAATAGCCATTTAACCTTTGACCTTTGACCTTTGACCTGCGACAGACACACAAACAAACGAATTTCCGTTTTTTGACCACTTTTTTTCGACATGACCCTCCTTACAGTCGAGGGAATAAAATTTGAAATACCTTAAAAGAAGAAAAAATAAACAAATTGTTGTCCTTTTTATCTTCATTGTAAATTGAGTTTGAATGAAAATGAAAGATTTGTTTTTTTTTATAAAATATCATTTTCATTTATTCGAAATATTTAATCCTTCGATAGTTGACAAAATGATTTTGCTATGAAAATCCTTTGTTTCATGATTCATATATTTCATCTTTTAAGGGATTGTGCGAACACTTTTTATCAATATTGATTGATTTATTGTTTTTCTAAGAAAAACAAAAGCAAATCATTGAAAGATTCGCTATAGAATGAAGTTTTCATTTTTTTTCATTGAATTGTTGAGAAATTAAAAGATTAATAAATTCTATTATCGAATCATACGTTACGATCTAAAATTTTGATAATTTAATGAATAATATTCTTATTTATCGATGAAAATTATATTGAAAAAAAAACGAGATTGAAGTAATACATCTTTATCAATGATCAGATATATCGTAGTTTTATTTTGCAAAAAAACTTGAAATATTGAATTAATTGGATGAAAATCTATCTAATGCTTGTACAGATGATAAGATGAAATTCAAGAATTCGATTTCCTTTGATAAAATCATACCTTTGTTCGTTTTCCTTAATCAGAGTAAATTAATCATTAAAAAATTTTATCTTTATTTTTCTAATTCAACGGTCAACAAGAACAAACTCTGCATTCTGAATTTGATAAGAATTCTGATTGTCTTCTCTAATTTCCTTTGTTCATATCTCTTGAGGGTGTGGGTGTGGGTGTGGGTGTGATCAGCTGCCATGACTAGTTTCACGTCTGCTAAGACGATTTACGAATGGCTTGTCTATTCTGAATTCAAAAGAATCCAAAACAAAGATATTGATCTATTATGTCTCGTGTGGAAATTTGCTGTTGAATATATGAATTTGCGGGTCATGTTGGAGGTATTGTATTCTAGTTTGTACGGTAGAGGTTTGAATTATATAGAGTTGTAAATAAAAATAGACGGGGAGGTCAATGATTTTATAATATACCGAAGTTTAGACTCGTTTTGTGTTGAGAGAGGTGCTGAAATAGTCAGGTCTGTTGAGAAAGGAGTTTGGTTTTGAGATCCGGATAGAACGAGGTGGTTTTTTGTGATTGTGGTGATCATTGAAGGAAAATTTGATTTAATTTGATAGTAGAATTGTGAGGAATCTAGAAGAAACGAAACTGATCAGTACCAGTGTAGAAAATGGAAAAGTTGTGGATTTGAATAAGGTAATGAGATCGTAGTTATATTAGTACAAGATAAGTTTGAATGATAGAAATGAAAAATGAAAAAAAGAGAACTTATGTTGAACTAATAAGAAGCGGAAGTCTTTTTTGTTTTTTCCTTTAAATGAGCGTTTTGTTGTGACACTACTTGTACCGATACTTTATATCGTGAAATTAAATTAGTCGTTGTTTGGAGAAGATGGATAGATGATTTTCCTGTTTGTACATAGTGTAATAGAAGTTGTAATTATGTTTTTTATTATTTGGATACACTTGTGGTTGGTTTGTACTCATTGTAACTTTTAATTGTTGTCGTTTCGTTCGATTTGATTATTGTTTTGTTGTTTTCGTTGTTCTAGAGAATGAAACAAAAAATGTTCCCTCGACTGTAAGGAGGGTCTTATAAAATAAAATTGTTTGTTTGTTTGTTTGTGGTAAAACGTGGTCGAGTACCAAGGGCCAAGAGTAGAATCCGGCGGGATCGAGTTTTTTTGTCCCGATCCCGATCTCGATTTCTAACGAGACGGGACGGGATATTCTGTTAGAACCCGATTTTTCGAAATTTGCTAAAGAACAGTTTTTAATCACCTATATTGAACATGGCGTCAATCAATAATATTTCATGGCATTATGATTATTTGCCTAATGAAAAGTGACGTCGGAACATATAGTCCGAGACTTTGAGCTTTGCCAATAAGACACTTTATCAAATTAATCAACCAAATATAAGACCGAATATTCATTCGAAATAGGCAAAACATATCAAAAGTCGACTTAAAGAAAAGATCGTGGGGCGGTCATTGAGGACAAATCAAAATGGCGAAGTATATGTTCGAAAGAAAGAGATCATATGATCGAGGGCTATATGTCGATAATATACAGTTGTATTGTCAGTATATGTATACTAACATAACCTGGATGGAAAAGTTTTTTTCCTTTGATACTAGATTTCTTTGCTAATCATTCAAAATTTGTCTTGTTTTCATCACAATATTCTGACTTTCTTCGCACATTGTTATTCGTATCGACAATACTATCTTAAATTTGTTCGATTCGTATCTTTTCTCTGTGTATCAATACTCGAATTAAGCTTCTAAAAAGCATCAAAGGTATTTTGTCAACAAATTGAATCGTATTATATTTATTACAATGATGAGATACGAAAAAAAAGAAATCATAAGCTTTATTGAACACAAGGATCCTTTAATCGAATTTATGAAGGCGAAACAAACAGCTAAAGCATCACCATTTTGGCCTTCTTTTTCGCAAGTATTTTACAACAAAATAAAACAGGATGTGATTCGATGCGATAAATGCGGAACAATTCTTATACACAAATCCATTGACGGAACGAAGGTGATGTCAACTCATACAAAGGCTTGTGGAAAGAAAAAACAACTCAATACTACTCAACAAAGCGCCGATGCTAGTTCGAAACGAAATTCAACGTCTACACAGATAAAAATTCCTTCGCAAGTCAAGCAGTTGATTACCGATGCATCCGTTGAATTCACTTTTCTCGATAATCGACCATTTGAACCTGTTAAAGGAGATGGACTTGTCAATTTAGTTGGAAAAAATCGTCGTTGCTGGCCAACAGTTATCAGGACTAGCAGGTGCACAAGTGAAAGACTTGTTACCCTATCCGACGACGGTAAGCAGATAGCATGATCTCCTACAGTACTTAATAATTTAGTTTATGCATTAGATCAGTCAAAACGTCGAGAAACTCTATGAATTAGATAAGAAGCAATTGGTTGACTGGTGTCATTTGATCGATGGATTCTTGGACCGAAGGCCATACTGGTATCCATTTTAGGGGAGTCTTTCTCCATCATATTGATCAAAATAATGAATTGTATGTGTTTGTTCTTGGCTGCTATCCATACGACGAGGGTGATCAGAAAGCTCCGACTATTCGTACGTTTGTGGAGAAGTGTCTCGAGGAATATGGATTGCAACTAAACAGTGAAAAATATGTGATGAGTGATAATGAAAATAAGATGAAAAGTGCCTTCAACTTTCAATGTAAACGCATTGGATGTAGTTCTCGCTACTTGAACAAACAATTAGAACATGCTTTCACCTCGGAGACAGTCGACAAACAACTAGTCAATTGTGTTGAAGTTCAAACATTGTTCACGCATGTTAAAGCCTTAGTCACACATGTTCGTCGTTCACATAAATAAGTGAAACTTACACGTTAACTTCAGACCTACAGTGATACGAGATTTAATGGAGCTTTTTACATGCTGAATGTATTCCTGATGGTTTTTGACGAGTTGTTCCCTGTTATCAACAGCACTCATTTAGAAGAATTTGCCAGTATAAATAAAGATCTTCTTCAAGAAATATGTGAATTCTTGATTCCGTTTGATACAGTGTTTCAAGAGTTAAGCGAAACAAATAGACCCACTCTTCATCGAGTAATTCCATTGCGTAAATATCTGCTCAATTGCTGTGAAATTCAACCCGATGATCATAATGGAATTCGAAAACTGAAGATATTTTTAAGTAAGTAGAAATGAAATGATATGTTACTGAGTATTTGAAGATCTATTTGTTATAGAAAGACGGATTGAATGTTCATGGATTCTCACAGACGAACACTACCTTGCAACTATCGTTCATCCTAAATTAAAAGACTTTCAAACAGGATCACCGAGTGATAGAGAAAAAGCAATTCGTTTATCAAAAGCTGCGATTCAAAACCGAGCAATCTCACAATTGATTTCTTCTTCAAGTTTGTCTCAATCATTCGATCAATCTTCGGCAAACAACTCTATGTCCAGGAAAAATAATAAACCATCCGAAAAAAGAACATATTAGCTAAATGTTTTGATCAAGCATCGAATCTTCCACCTTTATGTCTGCAAGAATGTGAAGAATATTTGAACTCTACAGTTATTAATAAAAATGATGAGGATGATAGTAAGTTATTCTTCAAATGACGTTTTTACGAATCGGAAACTTCAATTACGAATGTCTTTTTTTTCAGTTCTTGAATATTGGACAAACAATAAGAATCAGTTTCCAAATATACATGCAATCGCGAGAAAGGTTTTAGCTATTCCGGCTTCGAATACAGAAGTAGAAAGGCTATTTTCACATTCGAAAAAGACAATGACAGACAAACGTACTCGACTCGATCCCGACCGACTCAATAAACTCATTTCATAGATGTGAGTCTGATAATGACGATGAAGGTGAACAAATTACACCTTCGATATCGAGGAAACATCGAATCGAAGCTCACGATATTGGATCAAATGATTAGGAACTGAAAGAGTGATCGGGATTTGTTGTTTCTTCAGATTTATTTATCTCTTATCAACATCGTTTCTCTTGCAAATGACGCGTGTTTTTTAGTCTGTTTGAAGAATGATTATATCGGATTTTTAAATAAATAGATAATTGCAACTCGAGATGGTATGGTTAGCTAAGTTCCAAAAAACTTTATCCCGCCCAGATCCCGATCCCGTTGAAGTACTATTCGGGATCGGGACAATCCCGCCAGATTCTAGCCAAGAATGAAAGCGTAAAAAACATTTTTCTCGAAATATTTGCCATTTGATGAGTAGTCTTTTGCTATCGAACCTATGGTCGACGGAAGAGCACATTTATAGCGTCGAGATATGGCTTGAGACATCAACTAAGAATTTACTAACTCGACAATTTGGCTAAGCGAATACCGTATTGGGAAGATGGACGAAGATTAGCCACATGGTCTCTTGTGCGAAGAGAGAAGCGTACGGGAAGACCTAGCTTGAATGGTGTCTATCTGTGTCATGAGTGAAGGCAAAATATGACAGAAACTTCACGATTAGCGCATGGAGATAGATGAGGCTGATTGATAATTGTCGCAAATCATAAAATGGACCGATAGCTATCACGCGCCGTAAGGCTGTGAAATGAGATGTGTAGGATACATAAATAATGCATTGAACATCTTTTGTGTAGTTCTAATGACAAGAGTACAATGGCAAGAAAATCAGACGAGCGTTTAGCGAGAGTACCCGGCCAGCGTTACTGGCGATAAATTCACAATAAATAAAGACCTTTTGTATCCTCACATTTGTTTTACAAAGACAATAAGCTATTTTATTTGTGAGAGTTAATAAATAGTCGAACAGAAAAAGTTTTACCGTTTCATCGTACGTGAAGTTGCTAGATCGATTCGCCTCATTAATAGCACACGCAGAGAGCATATCTGTCTTCCACAGTCGATGGTGAAGTGAGTCGACACGACGAACGCTACTTGTTTTAATGGTAAACACATGAATCGATTTGTCTTTGGTGTAACACATATGTGATGATGTAATAAACAGTTCAATAATGATGATACATTACAATCGACTTCATCTGCTCCATTCAAACAATTCCAAAAACCATTACAATGTGTATATGAATTATTACATGGCTAATACTCACATTCTATTTCGTCTGTGTCATTATGTCCATTGATAAGAATGAGTAATAGTTCCGTGAAGCCATCACATATAGTACGAAATGAAAGACGATATCTCACTGAGAGCATATTTGTACTATACATTGAACTAGGATTATTGGTTATGCTACATTTTTCATCATCCCCATAAACACAGTCCGTTCTATTATCACATAATCGATGTTTTACAAATTGTTGGATCATTGTATAATATAGTATTGCATTGCATTGACTTAGTTGCCTGATAATAGGTAAAATAAAAGCATTTAACCAACTATCTCGCCCAGAGCCTGATGAAGAATAGATCAAAGGAAAATCTTCTGGCCGGCGAGGGTGAGGATTCATTATTAACTATTCCATTGGTTTAGATTTACTTATTTTATTGGCAACCCAATGTTACGAAAGATCTTCTTCATAGGAATGAATTATTTTTTCGATATCGCGATGAAGCATTGATAACAGAACAAATCTGAAGATGAGCTTCGTGACATTCTACAAAAGATGAATAGTGCATTTTCGCAACCCATATGGAATCTTATAAAAATTGATAAAACAATTATTTATCATGATATCAAAATAAATAATTATAATGGTATTTTACGCACAGGTATTTATCATTTACCCCGTTTTAGTTCAGCTCTCCTGCCAACATTCCATGAATTAATTCAACATTCCATCAAAGAAAATATATGAAAATGGTTACGACAAACAGCATCAGAGCTTAAAGAAGGTTTTGGACCAGAAAAACACCAACAAAAAGTAAACAAATCAAACTATGAATTAATGCGTGAGAATATCCAGCTTTATGATTCGTCGAAAGCATGGGGAAATTGAATAAAAGGTTCATTGCTGCAGAAGTCAAGGCAGATCATACCAATAAATTAACGACTGACGATCATACCAAGACCGCCGATTTCTTCAAAGACATTAACCTGCTACTGAAACACCACTTTGGAAATGAGTGACAAATCAACGAAATTTCATCGAAATCTCGAAAACAAAACACTAACATCATTAACATATGTATTAACGAATTATTAATTAAAAAACGACCCAATATAGAATACTTGAAACTACCATCTTTCAACAATACATAAAGTTCATCTTCAAATATCTTTCTACGACATAACCTACCCATGTGATACATTTAGTCGAACCAAGCTTCCACACTCAAAATCATCATGTAGACACTTTTCATAAATATAACCATCCCCAAAAATGTCATAATTCGACAAAAAACTGTATTCGTAAACGAAAAAAGCAAACCTTTAATTTGAACCAAAACCAATCACCGATATTCGCTCCTTTTTTCTTTTTTTCATTTCTTTATATGTAAAACATGATTTCTTTCATTAAGGCTTAGGTTAACCATTAAAGATTATAGTATTAGGTTGTCCCGAAAGTTCGTGCAACTACTGTTTTGCTGCAAGCTTGAAACAAATGTTTTACATCATTGTATAGAGCGTACATTTTTAGGATGGTACACTAATGTTGACCGAACTACTTCGTTGTCTTCTTGGAGAAAAGAGGCATATATTAACAGCAAGGTCGGCTCATGTTTTAAATGTTATACTTCGAAGACAAGTATCAATGAGATGTCTGATTTAGAAATTGAATTGTAGTTTTGTAGAGCTGATCGAAGGCTACAAGGTGTATTATTTTGATTTGAACTTCCAATGAATTAAGGGTAAAAAATGTCTTCTTTACTACGATGCACTACGAAGCCTTAAAATCTCCAAAATAAGATGCGCATTTCTTTCCAAAATCTTTGCACATCGTTTCCAAATCTCATTCG